ACTGTGGATCTAAAATGTTCTACGGAGAAGTTCCATGACATGCTTGTCGGCAGACCACACCATGTCTCCAATGTATCTCCATCCTACATTCAGGGCTGTGAGCTGCACGAAGGAGAAATGGGCCAAGTTGGTGCTATCGTCGTCTGGAATTATGTTCATGGCAAGTCAACGTTATATCTAGTTATATAAATACATTCTTCTCGGATCTCTATCCAAATATATTAATTTTTATATCAAAACCAATTGGAAATGAGTTGATAGTTCATATATTTCTGATAATATTTATCAAAAAAATAGCACACCTAGTGATAAAGTTCCTATAATAGCATTCATTTTATAAGGAAAACAAAAACTAAATTACTTTAACTTTTAAACCCTAATTCCACTTCCACTTCCTAAATACTAAACCATTAACACTAATCACTAAATCCTAACGTAAACAATTTTTTTAATTTTTTTTTAATTAGTGCTATTCTTGAGATTTTTCTCTTTAAGTGCTATTTTCAACAAAATGTATTTTAGTGCTATCTTGGTATTTCTCTATATAGAATGTCTCGTTTTATTGAAATGCAAGATTTTCTAGCAAATGTGACCCTATATATATATTTTTTTAATTTGGTTAGATGGGGAGGCAAAAGTATTGAAAGAGAGGATCGAGTCCGTAGACCCGGAGAACAATCGAGCCACGTACAGGGTGCTCGAGGGTGATCTAATGAAAGAGTACAAGAGCTTCGTAATAACGTTCCAAGTAACCCCTAAGGAGGGAGAACCTGGAAGTATTGCACACTGGCACTTTGAGTACGAGAAAATTAACGCTGAGGTGGCTCACCCTGAGACTCTCCTCCAATTCGCGGTGGAGGTCTCCAAAGAGCTCGATGAACATCTCTTGTCCGAGGAATAAAGGGAGACTTCTCTTGTATCTATCCTTTCTATCCTTATATATTTGTGGGTTTGCCTTGAACTTCAAGCTTTGAAAGAGATATAAATAAGGACTAAGGAGCCGGCTTGTCCGAGTTTGTGCGAGATATATGTGTCATGAGTGTGTGTGTATATACTACGATCGTGTTACGTTGGAAGATGTAACTTTTGAGAAGCAGCAGCTATATATGAGGCTACTCGAAATTTATGTTTGAACTGTCTTTTCTTTTAATAATCAACCTTTTGTCTTCTTGCCTTCTATGGAAAATCTGCTTTTTAATCTAAACTTGGTAGTGGTGTTTTCGGATTCTTAACAAACGAGAATTAGCCAGGAAAAAAGGTAAAAAGCCTAAGAGCGTATAACACGACTAAGGCAAATACTAATTGTAAGTTTCTATATTGATCATGTGAATCTACTATTACAATTATTTAAAACCTTTTTATACTATCTGAAAAAGTCCCAATGTTTCTTTTCCTTTTAAATTTAATTACTAGAAACAATTTTTTTAATCCTAAAATTAATTTTGTATCGCGGAGATCTTTGGTCCCTGCACTCCCAAATATCATTATTGATCATGAGCCATTATTTTTTTTAACACTGGTTAATTATGCATTACAAACTATGAAAAATATTACATAGACGATATTACATCTGTCAGTTCTATCTATTTTATGCAGATTCACGTCTGACTGCATCCACCTGAGCCGTCCTAGAGATCTATTCCTCATGATATTATTTACGTTATACTGAAGATCTCTTGTAAGTTTTTTCTCCAATAATCTGTATAATTCGCCATTCACCTTTTCTGAGAATTGAAATCCTCTTGATGTAGAAACGATGTTGTCTGGGATTCGAACCCCAAATATAATGTGACCAAGTTCATATATTATTTATTAATGTAGTTGTTTTGTACCACTTCTGTTTTATGCAATTTTGAAAGTGGAGTAAGATTTGTACCAATTTATGTTATTAACATCAAGGACAGATGATTGACATACTATTTTATGTGATTGTGTCTAATTTAAGCCATTTATCATCAATTTAATTGAAATTATATGATGCTCATAGATGAAGGGTTGTAAGGATGTTTTATCACTGAAAATTCATTATAAATGATAATAAAAATCTAAATCACCAATAGACAACATAGAAACTTCAACAATATAGAGATAAAAAAAAGGAGATGTAATTTTTTTTTAAAAGACAATGCAAACATAATGCACTGCAATTTTTGGTTTATTAATTTAAATGAAGCATGCGTTTTACGAATTAGAAGTATAAGTTATTGAGTCCAAAATTTATATCATACATCTAATTTGATTAATATACATATATGGACTAAACTTAAAATAGAAGTATACCCTTAACTGATGACAAAAAAGTATAGCCTTAATGAAATATCTAAAGTTAGTACTAAACTGAATGACATTTCCCGTAAATATCAGTAGAGTCAATGTTAATATAATTAATGTAAATTAGTAAAGAAGATATCACTGACAGTTAGAAACAATAAATTAAACTACTTTATATAAATTATAAACTTGTTATGTTAAAAAATGTCATATTAGACTATTAATAATATAGTAAATGTTAAAATTATATATATATATATATATTGGTTATAAAAAATATTTATATATAAAAAATTAAAAGATAATATGCATAGATTGAAATCTAGTTTAATTATTATTGATTACAATATATTATCTTAAGGATAATGATGAGGACATTCTAGCTGGAGAGAAAACTATCGCATATATGTGATGATTTGTATGGACTATTCTTCAAATAATTATGTTTAACATAATATCATAAATATTTCTAATACATTTTGTCAACCGTTTACTTACTCTTCATATCAAATCTAGCCATAAACTAAAAGATATCAAACACATCAGTATTCACATCATCACGGATAAATAAATTATTTTTGACGAGGCCAATGGGTTTAAAATTTATTCCGTACAACCAAATATAAATCTATACTATTCTGGTAAATTATTAATATACTATTCTGTTGAAAATAAAATTATAAAATCAAATCCCAATTTAAATAATTCTAATAATTAAAACAGTAAAAAGGCAAAACACTATACATGAAAATGTCAATTTAATATACTTATACTATATTACCAACTCAAAACATAAAAACTTCTGAAACTAAAATAAAACAGATAAATTAATAAAGAAGAATTGAGCTCAAGACAAGAAACACAAAATAAACAAAAACTTAGTGTATAAGCTTAAAAGTATATACCAAAATAGAGAAATATAAGTAGAAAACTAGTACGGTAGGGGTAAGTGTTCAAAAATTATCATTCTTCTCTATATTATTTTTAAGAATTCTTCTCTATTTTTCTCTTGTTTTTTTTCATATTATGAAGGTGTATTCATTTTCATTAATTCCACCTAAATTATATTATTTAAATTTTGTTTTGATGGGTTCGACCGTTTTAATCAAAACATCAAATATCAAATATGTATATTTTTAATCTATTTTAGATTTTATTTGAATATAGTTACTTAAATTTGACTTTGTCATTTGTATTTTTGACCAACTTTACTTTCACTTCTATATATTATGCTTACTGATTTCAAGTTTTTGCCTATAAGTTTTAAGTTTTGGTCCTAGTTTTCTATGCTAACGACTAGCTAAAATCTAAATCAATCAACTAGAATTAGAAAAAATGATTTTCTGTGTGTTTGTCTAACGATTTTTCTCATAAATACTGTTATATTAATCCAAATTAGTTTGTCAAAAAAAAAATCAAATTGGTTAATGGTGTTTTGGGATCTCATGAGGTTAATTATATATGCAAAACGGTCGCAGGGCCCTTGTGTAATGGGGTACTACATTATTTTATTTGAGTATCATTTTCGATTTATATGCCTAAATAAAAATATGTGTAATTTTATATATTTTTAAATAAAAATATTGTTAGCTATGCATATAATCATATCTCAATCAATAAAACAATAAACTAAAAAATATAAAGAATTATATAATATATAAATTTTGTATTATTTAATTTATAATTAAAATTTTACTTTACAATAATACTTAATATGAACAGAGGAATTAATTTAAAAATTGAACTAATTTTGATTTGCTTATTTTATATTTTGGGACCAACGTGTCTTCCATGATTGACAAATGCCGCCTCTCTTACGGATCATTCGATAATATATACTATTTGTATACACATAAATATCTGAGCAGAGAATTAGCAACAGCGGAAACGAAATAAGCGATGTGCATCGTGTGATTGATGAATAGAATATAACAAATCTTGAGATAATTTTAATGAAGAAACTTTATCTTCTTCGACAGATACTCAACCATTCCTCTATAAATAGGCTAATTAAAGAGGTCACAAAACTCACTCCTCTCACAAAACCCTATTTCTTCATTATACGCATTAATTACCAGAAGTAAACAGAATGGCAGAGGCGGCGACAACCGATGCATCTAGTTTGCTCGGAACGCTTCAGACAGAAGTGGAGATCAAAGCTTCGGCTGAACAGTTTCATGATATGATCACAGGGAGACCACATCATGTCCCCAAAGCATCTCCAGGCAAAATTCAAGGTTGTGACCTGCATGAAGGTGGCAGCTGGGGCGAAGTCGGCTCTATCATCCACTGGAACTACGTTCATGGCAAGTCAAATTTATAAACTTTTTCTTCTAATCACTGGATTCAAAATTAAAACTAAATTTATGAAGTCTAATATATCAAGTATGCCAGTATGCCACCGTCTAAATCATACATACGCAATATATAAAGCGCTCTCTGTCTAGCGTAAAATGATTTTAGACTCCTATAAATTACAATCACTTGCTAATAGTCGGGAGATTCCAAACCGAAAACCAAATTTTAGAAAATATTGCCGCTATGTGGATTCCATACATAAACCACAAGGCGATATATATATATATATATATATATATATATATATATATATATATTAATACTGTCACTTAATATATGTACTTATAATAACCTTTTGAGATAACGTACAAGTTATTCTCAACTCAAACAAAGGAAATTACTAATTAATTGGTGCAGATGGGGAGGAAAAGATGTCAAGGGAGAGGGTCGAAGCAGTGGAGCCGGAGAAGAACTTGGTCACTTACAGGGTAATAGAAGGTGATTTGATGAAAGAGTACAAAAGCTTTGTAACCACAATCCAGGTGACCCCTAAGCATGGAGGGCCTGGTAGTGTTGTGCACTGGCACCTTGAGTACGAGAAAATTAGCGAGGAGGTTGCTCATCCCGAGACTCTCCTCCAGTTCTGTGTTGAACTCTCCAAAGAGATCGACGAACATCTCTTGTCTGAGTAGAAGAGAGTATTTCTCGTGTGACAATCCTATATATCAGTGCGTGTATGTGCGATAAAGCATGCCGATTTCAGTGTTTTAAATAATTAATGTGTGTAAATTCTGTATGAGTGAGAAGAAATGGAAGTGATGTAATAATATACATGTTGTATTCTGTGTAAGTGTATCATGTTCGTCTTTAATAAAACTATGAAGCATGTTGTTGTGAACAACCGCCAATCAACTCGAAACAAACACAGGAAAGTAAAACAAATTGAGGCAAATACATGTTTTATGGTTTATATATTATTGTATGAATGAATAACTTTACAATTTCTTAAAGCATCTCCAATGGTGTTACTACCATTAGAGTCCTTAGTATTATTAAAAAAAACATTTTTTTTATTTAAATAGTTAAGGACTCTATTGAAAATTATATGTCCAATAGTGTTTTTCAATTTAGAGTTCTTAGGAATAAACAATTATTAAATTTTAAAACATATAAAGTTAGAGTTTTTATTTATTACATGATTAAATATAAAGATATTATAAGTATTAATTTTCATTACCAAATTTGTTTCAAATATTTTCAATTAAATCATTTTCCAAACCGAAATACATATCTCCACCCCAATGAGACGCTGCCACGTCACTAAGGACTCAGTTCTTAAACTCATTAATTAAGGACTGCTCCTTAGCAAACTTAGCTTAATTAATAATATTTTATTCAGATTAACCTAGAATTATGTGCTAAGGACTGGTGAAAAACCACCATTTGCGGATGGTCTTAGATCCATATTTATAGCAGTCTCAAAATCCGATTTTATTTTCCCTATAGAAATACTATTTATCTACTTCCGACCCAAAGAACGCATATTTTTTGCTGGTGGAAAGAGATTTAAGACACATCCAAATGCAACATATGGTCTGGATCCTTGAGACAACTGTGGATCTAAACTATTCGACAGAGAAGTTCCATGACATGCTTGTCAGCAGACCACAGCATGTCTCCAATGTATCTCCTTCCAACATTCAGGGCTGTGAGTTGCACGAAGACGAATTGGGCCAAGTTGGTGCTATCGTCGTCTGGAATTTGCATGGCAAGTCAACGTTATATTTCTCTCGTTAAATAAATACATTCTTCTCGGATCTCTAACAAAATATATAAATTTTTACATCAGAACCAATTGAAAATGAGTAGATAGCTCATATATTTCTGATAATATTTATCAAAACAAAAGAATCTGTTGATAAAGTTCTAAAATAGCACTCATTTGATAAGGAAAAAACTAAATTACTTTAACTCTTAAACTCTAATTCCACTTCCACCCCTCAAAAATACTAAATCATAAACAATAATCATTAAACCTAAACTCAAATAACTTTTTCTTTTTCTTAAATAGTCCTATTTTAAAGATTTTTCTCTTTATATGCTATTTTCAACAAAAAGAATTTTAATGCTATCTTATGATATTTTTCTATATATTATGTCTCGTTATTCAAATGCAAGATTTTCTAGCAAAAGTAATCCTATAATTTTTTTAAATTTGGTTAGGTGGGGAGGCAAAAGTTTTGAAAGAGAGGATCGAGTCCGTAGACCCAGAGAAGAATCGAGCTACGTACATGGTGCTCGAGGATGATCTAATAAAAGAGTACAAGAGCTTCGTATTCCAAGTCGGTAGCGGAGCCAGAAACACTTTGTACTGGAGTAAAAAAAATTAATAGGGATAAATTTTCATTTTTAGTGGGGTCAATAAAATTTTTCTTAAGCAACAACAAATATTTTACAAAGTTTTCTTAAGTAATTTTTTTATTTTTAAAAATAGTGAGGTTAGGTGACCCACTTGTTACACATTGTCTCCGTCCATTAGGGATGTTAATATGGTAAAATTCACCCTATTTAAACCTACCCCATTTAGAATCCATATCCATTTAGACCCATTTAAAAATAGACCTATTAGGATTTCCCATTTAGAACCCACAAAATTTACATGTACCCATATAACCCATTTAGAGTTGATTCTTTTATTTATTTTTTGTATTCATATTTTCAACTTTATGAACTCTAAATAATTATTTCTCAATAATTTGTTTCACTTGATGAACTCTAGATAAATGTAGGTTTTGACTTTGGAATCTTTGATTATGAAATTATATGGTCTTTATATGTTTGTAATAGCCTAATAGAGTAATAAGTTAATAACTAATAAGCATAATGAAGGAGACAACATATAATTTTCAAAATAATGGTTTTTAAAATAATTGTCTTCCTCTCTCTTTGATAATCAAACCGGCAGAAAGTGGTGCACTTAGTATCTTCTCTCTTCCTACAAAGTAAATAACCAATGTAAGACAAGATTACAAGAAGCAAAAACAAAGAAACAAAGAAGCAAACACTAAGGAATGAGATTGACATAAGACAAGACGAAACAAGTAATCCATAAACAACACTAAGGATGCAGACTGTAGCAATCGTCTGGATGTGGAACATGGAGAAAAGGGCTCAGTACTCATCGTATGGATGTGGAACATGGAACATAATATATAAAGCCGTTCTTCTCTAAGAGGATACATCATTACAAAGAACTGCATGCATTATTACAAAATATACTAAAAGAACGCTTATTAATGTGCATCATGAAAGAAAACTTTGGAGGAAACCAGTGTAAATTCACCTATTGCATCAGCTAGTCTGCTCTCTATATGGAAAAGAAACTGGCAGATACATTGAGACCATAATATTAAGCAAGAGATTCTAACATCAGTCAATATAAGCAAGAGATTTAGTAGCTAACAGAACCCATTATAACATGATGTAAGTGCTAAACGAGAACATCAACCCATTATAACATCAACGCTAGTAACACTGGCCAAGCTAAACTATTTGGCTGCAAGTGCTAAACGAGAACACAAGTGATAAGATATTACCACAAATGTTCAACGCACATTTGAATCTTCTGATCTTGAACCCTCTCATCCAGAAGTACTTGTAGTCTTCGTAGCATCTTCGTTGCACATATCATCAATGTCTTCTATTGTACCTTCATATTTAAAACAACATAAGGTGACCTTGTTAAACATATGACCTTCCCCTAAAACCAGAACTGTAAAGAGTAGAGAGAATCAATTACCTTCATATTCTGCAAAACCTCTCAACCAGTTACGAGTACAGAGTAAAGCTTGGACATTCTTGGGAAGCAAGCGACTTCGGTATAGGGTTAGCACGCGAGCTCCAATACTAAATGCTGATTCAGATGCAACTATTGTGATGGGGATACTAAGAATATCTCGAGCCATCATCGCCAAATCACCAAATCGAGCTATGTTTTCCCTCCAATAGTTTAATACATCCAATTTGCGAAAAGAATTTCTGTCTAACCTTTTCTCATCCAGATACACATCTAAATGTGTTCTTGTGTTTCCTAAATTACTCCCAAGGCTTCTTTCCAATTCAAAGATATCCTGCAATATATTATAATGTTAGATTATTAAAAAACTAAAGATGCTTGAAAGGAAAATCTGAAGAAACATACATTGTCTATATCATCCTCCAAAGGAGATTCAGTAACTAACTCGTGTGGAGTTGGCGCAGTAGATGAAGAACCAGAAGAACTGCCCCAAGTCCCAGCTTGATACTCTTTATAAAGTTCAGTCAAATTAGTCTTAAGCTTCTCAGTTTTCAAAGTAGAAGTAGAAGGATCCACTCTCTCATAAGCTTTCTCAAGAACATCCAACTTCAGCCTTGGATCAAAAATTGCTGCCATAGCCAAAATAATGTTGTACTCCTCCCAATACTTAGCAAATTTAACTTGCATTTCCTTAACCATCTCCTTCAAATGAAAATCGTCACAGTTCGCAAAATACCTCAGCAATAACTCAATCTTCCAAACTTCCATGAAGTACACACTAGATGTTGGGTACTTTGATCCTGAAAAGAGAGTAATAATTTGACTGAAAGGTTTCAGCAACTCACTTATTTTTTGCCCACGATCCCATTCTCTTTTAGAAGGTAACCATTTGTAGTGCCTGTCAAAAGTTACCAAACTTTTAAATGATTCCCTAAACTTCAACGGTCTAACAAACATTCCATAGGTAGAATTCCATCGAATGGTGACATCAAGTGATAAACCAGAGCTATCACGAACCTAATGAGGGAGAACCCGGAAGTAAACCAGAATTTTTTTTTTATAAATTCTGTTATATTAATCCAAATTAGTTTGTCAAAAAAATAATCAAATTGGTTAACGGTGTTTTGGGATCTCATGAGGTTATATATGCAAAACGGTCGCATGTAGGGCCTTGTTTAATAGGGTACTACATTATTTTATTTGAGTGTCATTTTAGATTTATACGTTCTAAAAGTATATTTAATTTTATATATTTTTAAAATAAAAATTACTATTAGCTATACACATAATTATATCTTAAGAAATAAAATAATAAATTAAAAATACAAAAAATTATATAATATATAAAATTAATAAATTTTGTATTAAAATTTACAATGATACATATTTTGTTATTAAAATTTAACTTTATAATGATACTTAATATGAACAGACGAATTAATTTAAGAGTGATTTAGTGAACTACCCATATTTGAAGCTCAAACTAGCAAAATACCATTGATTGGACATAAAGGACACTGACACAACCATTTGGCAAGGAAATATCGAGAATACCCTTTCTCTTTCCTCTCATTAACACGAAGCGTAAAAATATTTGTTAACATATAACACTTCTGTTACCGTCTACAATATTTGTTAACAGCCAATACATTTATTACCACGAAGCGTAAAAAGAACTGTTAACAGTTAACACTTTTGTTAACGTCTACAATATTTGTTAACAGCGAACATATTTATTAACGCGAAGCGTAAAAATAATTGTTAACAACTAACACTTCTGTTAACGTCTACAATATTTGTTAACCGCTAACACGACGTCGAATCTAAAACCCAGAAAATTGATATCATCAAAAAATGGAGGATTCAAAGCCACTTATGAAAAAAATAATGAAATTTAAAATTTAATTGTATGTACTTCTCTAATATCAACACCAAATATGGGTACTTCTCTAACGTCTACAATATTTGTTAACAACCAACACATTTAAAAATTATATATTTTTAATAGAGGTGTTATGTATTAACTATTATTTAAGAATCAAAATGAACTCAAAAATATTTAACATATTTATTTTGCATGTAATTCATTTTGAAAATGATAAGAGGAGAGAAATGAAAAAAAAAAGGTGACACACCCACATGTAAATGCAGGAAGGAAGGAGAGAGAGAGAAAGAAGGACAATTTGGTCAGACAAAATAAATATGTCCCATCATGGGCAAGTTACTAATATATACCCCCATTTGGGGTGTATCGGCCAATTAACTCTTAATTTAAAAGTTGATCTAATTTTCATTTGTTTATTTTATATTTTGCGACTAACGTGTCTTCCATGATCGACAAAAGCCGCCCCTCTCACGGATCATTCGATATTATATACTCTTTGTATACACATAAATATCTGAGCAGAGACTTAGCAACAGAGCAGTTACAAAAAAAAAAGACTTAGCAACAGAGAAAACGAAATAACCGATGTGCATCGTGTGATTGATGAATAGAATATAACAAATCTTGAGATTATTTTAAATGAAGAAAATTTATCTTCTTCGACAGATACTCAACCATTCCTCTATAAATAGGCTAATTAAAGAGGTCACAAAACCCTATTTCCTCATTATACGCATTAATTACCAGAAGTAGAAAGAATGGCAGAGGCGGCAACAACCGATGCATCTAGTTTGGTCGGAACGCTTCAGACAGAAGTGGAGATTAAAGCTTCAGCTGAACAGTTTCATGACATGATCACAGGGAGACTACATCATGTCCCCAAAGCATGTCCAGGCAAAATTCAAGGTTGTGACCTGCATGAAGGTGACTGGGGCGTAGTTGGCTCTATCATCCACTGGAACTTCGTTCAAGGCAAGTCAAATATCTATAAACTTTTTCTTCTCATCATTGGATTCAAAATTAAACCTAAATTTATGAAGTCTAATATATCAAGTATGCCACCGTCTAAATCACACATACGCAATATATAAAGCGCTCTGTCTACCGTAAATTGATTTTAGACTCCTATAAATTACAATCACTTACTAATAGTCGGAAGATTCCAAACCAAAAAACAAATTTTAGAAAATATTACCGCTATGTAGATTCCATACAAATGCCTGACATAAACCATAAGGTGATATCCAATATATATTAATACTGCACTTGAATATATGTACTTATAATAAGCTTTTAAGATAACATTCAAGTTATTCTCAACTCAAACAAAGGAAATTACTAAATAATTGGTGCAGATGGGGAGGAAAAGGTGTCAAAGGAGAGGGTCGAAGCAGTGGAGCCGGAGAGGAACTTGATCACTTACAGGGTATTAGAAGGTGATTTGATGAAAGAGTACAAAAGCTTTGTAACCACAATCCAGGTGACCCCTAAGCATGGAGGACCGGGGAGTATTGTGCACTTGCACCTTGAGTACGAGAAAATTAGCGAGGAGGTTGCTCATCCCGAGACTCTCCTCCAGTTCTGTGTTGAACTCTCCAAAGAGATCGACGAACATCTCTTGTCTGAGTAGAGGAGAGTATTCCTCGTGTGACAATCCTAACAGTGCGTGTATGTGCGATAAAGCATGCCGATTTCAGTGTTTTGAAATAATTAATGTGTGTAAATTCTGTATGAGTGAGAAGAAGTGGAAGTGATGTAATATACATGTTGTATTCTGTGTAAGTGTATCATGTTCGTCATTAATAAAACTATGAAGCATGTGATATATGTTTGGATAATAAAACCTCGTTTTCTTCTTTCACAGTTTTCATATATTCATGATTATATCATTTACATGTATGTAAATATGTGGATCGAATTTAGGTAGACAATACGATACTAACACACACACAAAAATTGAACAAGGGAACCAGAGCAGTGCCAAAACTTATGGCTAACAGAAGAGGTTAAAAATAAAATGGCTCATTTTTTAAGAAAGATTGCTATATTAAATATTATCATTACATAGCAAAAATAAATAAAAGCTAACAAACTAAATATTCATTTTAATAATTCTAACAATTTAATTAATTTTCTTTTATTTGTTATTTTTTTTCATTTTCAACATAATCATGATAGAAGAAATTTTGCTTCATACGTTGACAGAAAATAATGCGAGTGTGATAATGGTATGCACTGAGATTGTATCTCATTTATGGCATCTGCATTTATATACTTACCATTCATGTGTTTTTGGTTATTCAGTTGTTTCATAATTATTTCTCTAAGTTTATGAAGTTTACTACTCACTCCAATCCAAAAGGATACATGTTTAGAAAAAAAAATATTTCAAAAAGATACATTTAACATATTTTCAATATATTATATAATGATAAACTGTAAGCTACAAGAAAATAGTTGTGTTTATTGAAATTATATTGGTCAAATTTGTGGAAAATAGTTAATTACAAAACAATGCATTGACAATCAAAGTTTAATATATTTTCTTAATATGTGTAAAAATTTTAAAACGTAAATATTTCTAAACGGAGAAAGCATTTGATATTTCAGTGTTCATAATTCAGCTAATTTACTATTTTGCTATTTCACTGTTTCATGATTTAGCTGTTCTATTATTCTTATGTAGTAAAGAGACGTCTAACTAATTTTAGTATCAACAACGGCAAAAAATGTCTGAATCAGTATCTATATAACCAAAAGACGTAGTTAATACAAAATAATTACACGAAGCTGTTAGTTCGTAGTTCTATTGGTAATGCATTATATCTGAAGGGTAGATTCGTAGATATATCAGGTCTGAGTCTCATCAGCTGCGGGGACGAGATTCCTGATTTTGTTCATTATCCAATCCAAGTAGATTATGAGCTTAGACCCAAAAAAATTTTGAATTAAAGAAAAAAGACATAATGGATATTCTTACGTTAAAACGGTTTCTAATTTGGTAGACAGTAGAAACGCTGGGTTCATTACAGTTATTTGGTTTTTAAAGCCTAGCAAACAACTCAGAAATCAAAAAAAAAAAAAACAACTCAGAAATCAAGAGTATAGCTAACTTTGAGAATTTTATCTCGTTCAGAGCTCAAGATCTGTTTCAGTCTTGGACAGTCAAGTGCCTATAACTGAATCTTCTCTACCCTCCCACCGGTCCCTTCTACCTTTATGATGGAGATGGAGATGGCCCTAATAGCCAGAACCAGGCAAAATAAAATAAGTAGATACTTAATTTTGAGGTCGGCAGCACAATATATATATAATGTGGTCTTGATCTAGACACGATGTTTATTTTGGGTTTTTTCAATTTTCGGAAGCATTTGGTCGTCACTTATTACCCCCAGATATAAGGAGGGATTATTAGTACATTCACTTTAGGATCAAGGAGATGCAAAGCTACGTGAAGTGAGACTGATGAAGTTGAATCATCAACCAATCCTGCCATAATACAAGTTTTGCTTTGATGACATGACGTCGAAAGTCAGACTGACCGCTTTCTTTTGCAATTTTCTTTTCTTAATTTGTCGGCTTAATGCTTCTACTGTTCAATTTCATATTTAGACTGAAACAACCGTATGGGTTGTAGACCTATATTAGATTCTGTGTGATAGAAAAAGAAAGAGGGATCAACTGGAATTAGAAGCCCCTAGTTGCACCTAGGCCTTAATTGATACAGAAGATGATAAAACATTATCAATATGTTGTAGAAGTTATTTGTTTTCATTAAAATTTTGAATAAATTGATTGATAAAACGGTAGTAGTATACAATTTTAAAAACAATCATAATTAGTATAATTAAATATTTATATTAAAATAAATTTATATATTCATAATTAAAAATAATAAACCTTATTCATTATATAAATTTTTATTATAGTTTATATGTGAAATATTATTATTGAAAATGTAATTTTAAAAAAGAAAATTAGATTATTTTTGGATATAAACATATTTAATAATATTAAATAAAATAATTAATTATATATAATTTACATATAAACTATTATTATTTATTGAAAGAGCAGTCAATGATCATATATGAAATTATCCTAAAAATAATATATGTTATATAACTAATTTCTTAGTATCTAAATAATATATATATATATATATGTTTATATCTATAATATATAAATATATATTCTGTTATGTTTATTATTAAAAATAATGAACGATATGTGTAATTATATAAATTATATTGTATTTTAAATGTGAAATATTGTTCTTTTAAATAATTTGAAAGTAGTTAATTTTATTTTTTTTTAATTTTAAGAATATGAATTCATATTTTTATTATAAAAATATTTTTATATTACTAATCTAAAATAAAGTAATTATATATAATTATTTTTAAGTTTTATATATTGTGAGTGCAAATATTCTCCCAAAAATTTTATTAATAAGTATTAAGCAAGTGTATTTAGAGAATATTAGTATTTCTAAATGTTTTTCCAAATATTTCTTGACAAATGTTGATTGGATAATAGAAAACAAAAATTAAACGACCGACGTATGTTCTTTCCTTTTCTTGTTTGTATTGTCTGTGTCTTTCTTCAATATACAATAAATAGACGTATGTCTTTCTTCAATATAACAAATAATATTCATTTTTTCATAAAAGAATACTTAAATACCTCCAAACATGGGTTGTTGAGAAATATTTAGAGAAAAAAATAGGTGAGTAATTGAGAATCGGTCATTTATCTAGTGCTTTAGGAATCAGTCCTCTGAATTAAGTAACAAGTGTTTCATTTCAAATGGTTTTATTTTCTTAACAAAATAAATTTTAATGACATAATTAAAAATTATTAAAATACTATTGTTACATTAGCGAAAAACCTCTTTTATGTATCTTTACCGTTAAAATTGCTCTTAAAGCATCTTAAAATGCAGAATTTATGTTTTCACATTGCAAATTTGAGATCGCGAACAGCCATTTATGAAGATCTTTGTGCCCTAACCCGAAATAAGCCGGCCTCTCTTGCTCTGCCTTGGAATTAACAAATGTTTCATTGACAATTTTACACATTTCAGATCTGGTTTAAGTGTGTATATGTTCATGAAAACCAAAAGGATAATAAATAAGCTCTTATAAAGCAATTACAAAGGCGTCTGAGCATATACATGAGAACAGAGTGGAGTAACCCGTATGATTATAATGATAAAATAATAGTATTAATGATTTTGTTTCTCGCTTAGCATGTGTTATCATATTTCTTTTGACTCTTGTGCAATAAAGAAAAAGATGGTGAAATGAGCTTTTTTCCCTGCAAAAATGAACTGAAGAGGTAAAATAACATAAGAAGATGGAGAATATATTGTTATTATTTTGTTCTGTCACGACGTTATTGTCTTTTTATTGAATTGGTTGTTGGATATGTTGCAAAGATCAAACCCTATATATACACATACACACACACATGTAAGATCCACATGTTTTTTTTTACAAATTAGATAACCACAAAATGGAACTTGTCAAGTAATAATGCAACCACTAATTCTTGTCTCCCAATCCCTTCCATTGCTTTTATAAAGTGGATTCAATAATTCGTTTTTTTAAACCATGGATGATTCAGTCGGGTTCGGAACTGGAGCAAGAAGGACTCGTGTCTTGCACAGAATGACTTGAGTCTCCCGACAAAAAAAACTTAATTAGCCCACAGTTTTTTCAACTAGGCCCCAACACCCGGTTTGAAGGAACCTGGTTCAACCTTTGATTTACAGGGTCTAGGACTAGGCATGCACCCACGCCGTCATTATGGAAAAACTCAATCCTTGCTTTCAATCGTGCATGGGATTTTGTAGGTATAGGGTACGAACTGGGGGAGCGTTAGTAAACGCAGTCCCAAATCAAATACCACATGCATGCGAGCAATAATCATTTTGTAATAAGATTACAGGTACCCTAAGATTTTTTTTTTTGGGTCAACAAGTACCCTAAGATTATACTTCACTAGTATCATATATATATATATATATATAGTATTTATCAATGCAAACAATTCATTGTATTTTTTAAGTAATGGTTAATTTAATTATGTTAATTCTCCACCAAAAAATAAAAATCTAGTGACACCGTTGAAAGAGTAGATGGAAATAATGAATGAATCCAATTCACTTTTATATTTTCGTTAGTGCTGGCATCACGCGGTTTATAAGAGTACCCCTATCAAAGATTTATTGATAGGGTTTATCCATTTTGTAAAAAGAAAAATTAATATAATAAAGGCAAAATCATGAATATGTATCATGCAAGTTTGCCGTGATAAACTCTATCGTCATTGTTCCGCGGGCCCTACGACATGTGGCGGCCCGCGATTAGTTCGCTTATTGTTTTAAAAAAAAACAATTGAAAAAAAATAAAAAATAAAATTAAAGTTACGAGTCCCCCTCCTTCATTGATGGGGTGCTCTAATGATGGGGCAGTGGTAAAATAGTCTTTTTCTTTAACAGTTGCTCACTCATTCCTCTATATAAAGAGCTATAGAATTCCAAAGGGAACTCACTCATAAAAAGAATATCACTAGCTAGTTAAAACCCTAAATTCCTAGAATGGCGGAGGTTGCTACCGAAATTGCAAAGAAGGTGGAGGCAAAGGCGGAGACGCCAGTGACCGTGGCACCAACTAAAACGGTGGAGGCTGCAAGGGCGGAAGAAGCTGAGACCAAGGTGACGGTGGCACCTCCCAAACCGGTCGAGGCTACAAACAAATCGGCAGAAGAGACGTCTAGCTTGGTGGGAAAGCTTGAGACAGAAGTGGAGATCAAAGCTTCTGCCGGCCAGTTCCACCACATGTTCACCGGGAGACCACACCATGTTTCCAAAGCTTCTCCAGGAAACATTCAAGGCTGTGATCTGCACGAAGGGGAATGGGGGAAACCCGGTTCTATCATCTTCTGGAACTACGTTCATGGCAAGTTAATGTTATTTTAAATTTTGTTTTTTTTTTGTTATTTTAAATATATTTTCCTCATATATAAGATTCATAAATTTTAAGAATGTAGCCGCTTTTTCAGTGACTAAAAAGAGACGAATCTAGTCATATATATATCGATCTTTTTATTTTTTGAAAAAAGGGCTATATATATATATAGATCTTACTAATATATATATATATATATATATATATATATCTCGAGTTCAAACTTAAACCTAAAACTAGTAAATGTTATATAACTGGTGCAGATGGAGAGGCAAAGGTAGCAAAGGAGAGGATCGAGGCGGTGGAGCCGGAGAAGAACCTGATCACATTTAGGGTTATAGATGGTGATCTGATGAAAGAGTACAAAAGCTTTTTGCTCACGATCCAAGTGACCCCTAAGCACGGTGGGACAGGGAGTATTGTGCACTGGCACCTTGAGTACGAGAAGATTAGCGAGGAGGTTGCTCATCCCGAGACTCTCCTCCAGTTCTGTGTTGAAGTCTCCAAAGAGATCGACGAACATCTCTTGGCCGATGAATAAATCAAAGGAATGTGTGTTGTGCCTTAAGTTATGTATTTTTATTAAGACGCGCAATAAAGGACTATGGAGCCATATCTTTGTGAGAGATAAATTAAGAGTGTGCGATGCTTATGTGTGTGTATGCTAAGATCGTATTTACGTTGTAAGTTGTAACTATGAGAAGCGACGTGTACTAGCTATGATGAGTCTACTATATAATAAGACTACAGTATGCTGTTTTTCTATAGCATCTGTTTGGTTTTACGGATCATATCATTATGCTTTTATGATTTAAGGAATTAAGGAGAAGGCTAATAGACTAAAGGGATGATTGATTAGATTATAGCTAACAAGCTGTAGCTTTTTCTCTGTATAGTTTTGATTATACCAGTATTATAGTTGTAACTGTACGATTAGTGATGTGATTTTGTTTAAGTCAAAGTACGATAGATAATTTAACCTGCAACATAAATGTTTGAATTTGGGTGATAATACAGTAACACAAACCAATAAACATATATGTCAAGGTCAATACTAGCATTTTATGTGTGGTAGATTATTTATTTATTGTGTACAGCTTACCCATAATTCGCCAAATAACATCTATTTGTATTATTGGGATATGTTAGTGATGTCGGCAACTACTTTTGACAATGGATATTAGAGGTGTGTGTACACATATCACAGGATCCAAGATCGGGTTTGATTTTGACAATAAAGACATACTGAAATGTTCTATTTAGGGGGACTAAAGTTGAACCAAGTAGTTCAACACTAAATAAAAAGACAAGAACTTGCCATCGCAATTACTTTCCATTGTGATTACTATCGTCCATCAAGTGCATCCAGATATACATGATTAGGTAGATGAGATCATCAATAATCTAACCAAAATAAAAGACAAAGAATTTTTTTTTAATTTTTATTAATCAAATCTTAAATCGAATACAACTATTAAACCTAAACGGCTATATATAAAAAAATCAGTAAAACTCTAGAAAATTTTAAAACAATAAAAAATAGTTATCTAAAAATTATCAAAATAAAATGATAAGATATTTGGAAGTCTTCTATATATTTATTTGCATCACATGATCATTTAATAATATTCACCTATTACTTTACGTCGTTACTGGCGAATGATGGTCATATCATGAAATGATGGATATATTTAGGTTAACGGCTAACTACTGTATTCTCAAGAAAAAGAAAACAAAGAAAAAAACTGAGTTGGGTACGCTGATTTTAAATTTTCAGCAAAGTTTTAAAAGTACTCTTTTTTTTGTCAAGTTGTAAAAGTACTCTATATGGGAAGAAATATAAGAAATGTTTTTTACAACTTCCTGACAATTTAAAATCAGCTTTGAATTATAGACATATGGTGTTCAAAAAAAAAAAAAAGAATTATAGACATATGATCTGGTGAGACACTGAGCATTTAAGATACCACGTAATGGATGGCCAGTTCTCAATAAATTATTGGACATTATTATCACTGAAAATTGGGTGAAGCTGAAACTAATAAAAGATTCCATCGGTGACCAACAAGAAGTTAGAAGAGTAATAAAATGAATATAATTTAAAATGAAATTTCTCTCAATAAGTTAAATGATTGTTGACACTACGATCAAAATAAATTTTAAAATTAATAAAAAATCTGAAATTTATAAAGATTATAAAATTTATATTATGTGATAATAATTGTCCCTTGAATAAAAGTAGATTGAGCTTTGAAATCTAATAAGATGCTTAAGCTTTATGGATTTCATATTCAAAATAAATAAATCATCTCAAATTTCTTATATACTATTCAAAGTCTCTTTCAACTTTGAATAAGTGATATTTCATACACATTGCCCAACAATTATTACATAATACCTAATATTACAAATTGAATACACAAACTGCGAATGCAAGTTGGCTCAGCAAGTGCATATGCTTGAGACTTAAATGAGAGAAAAAAACATTTAGCTAGTTTCATTGAGAAATTCGGCTACTTTTCCATTATTTAGTTGCAGGGTCGGCCCTGAGACATATCTAGTGAAACATTTGTCTCAGATCCTCAAATATTTTGAAGAAAACTATATAAGTATAAGTCTCCAAAAAAAATTTAGACTCCAAAAATTTCAAGATCGATCATGTTTAGTTGTCTTGGAAACCAAATCCTAGGAAATAAAACGACTTGAAACTTAACTGTAGTGTATTGAAGATTAGATTTCCTTTTCTTTGGTGATAATTTTACATTAAATGTACATAGTTTGCTCTTAGTTAGAAAAAAATAGAGATATATAAGTAGCACTTCCCACTTTGGTTGAGTGACATATTTTTTCAATTTAACTAAATCTTTAATAATGCCTTCAAATGTATATCCAGTAAACTAATTATCCCACTAGCTTTCAAAAACCGGAATCAAACACACATAAATCCATTCTAACGTTGTCAACGAAGAACAACAGTTTAACATCAATTTCTTCAAATTTGAAGTTAGACTTAATAATGTGAAGTAAAACAAATTTCTTCCCAATTACTCTACTCCCATCCAGTCAAGAGAAAATTAGTTTTAACACATTTACCCTAAAATAGGCTAAAAGTAGAGTAATGTTTTATTTTACTTCGATCAAGAATAAAACTGTAAAAGTTTACGCTCATTCCTACTTTTTATGTCCTCCATTTTCAACTTTATGTTTTTCACCATTTTATTGTATTATTTACCAATTTTTATTATATTAAAAGAGAAGTTATGACTCATTTCATGTGTGATTTTTTTATTTTATGTGACTACTACTAAAAAAAATTATTAAATATATTTCATTTCTTTGTAATTACTTAAATCATAATATCTTTTGATATCTTTTTAGTTTAAATATAAATATATATATATTAAATCTTTTTAACAAATCTGTTGAAATTTTTTTAGCAAGATCTTAACTTTAAAAACATTATATAAATATTTCATTAATTTTGAATTAGTAATAAAATATAATTATATATATATATATTCAATTATCTCTTATAATATGAAAATATATTATTTTTATCTATTTTATAATCATAATCTATCATATTAAATAAAAATTATTATATGGAAGTAAATATTATAAAATTATGTTAAATTGATAGATTAATCAATTTTATTTTCATAAAAAGCAAATATTTATGTTAAAATATATAATATGTTGAAGAACGGATTAACATTAGTAACTATATAATACATGTATAAAATTAACATATCTTAAACTTTTATAATAAAATATTATCTAGATAAACATAAAAAAATTTCCTAAATACTAATTTAACTTTGAAACTCAGATTAGTATTTAATATAAATTAAATACAGAATAATGTTCAAATATGATTTTTCATACATATTTTAGTATTAATAACTAAATGCAATTTCAATAAAATAAATATATAATAAGAAACTATTGAAATATTTGATATTAACATATAGCTATAAAACTATTATGTTTGTAATAGTTATATAAACATTTAAAATATACGATTAATGTCACTAATTTATAAAACAAATATATATAAAAGAAGAAATTTGCACGGTAGCGCGGATCAAAATCTAGTGAATAAGAATGAAAAAGTTACCCCTCTCTGAAGAGTCTTGCAGTTGTGAGACATCCATCAGGTAGCATTGATTGCATATTATGAGCAATGTAGGGTTCAGATGCACCCACCTAGACACTTCCCTACTTTCTTCATCCCTCACTTCTGCCCTGAATTTTTATTTATTTAAATTATTAAGTTGAATTTCGGATTTTGTCACATGATACACAGAATGTGTAAACAAAACAATCAATAGGAATGGATGATCATTAAAGTCCACCAAGCAACCTTCACTTATCCAACATTTTCACCAGAGTCCAGTTCACACATCCTTCGAGTTTCCTTCCTAATTAGTAATAACCATCTAAATTATGATTCTGAAAATTAAAAGCTATAGTCATAACTAATCAGGTTATTAATAAAGCTATTATACCTTGATATATTGCTTAAATGTCTCAATAGCTTTGATCGATGCCTTTTGCTTTTGCATCTCTTGGCTCTGACAAAATATTCATCCGCAACTCAAGGCAGGATTAACGGAAAAAGAGGGGGAATGCTTAGGACAGATCTTAGAAGAAAGAACCTACTGAAAAGAAAAAATTTGGTGCTTCTGGTGCCAAATGAAACGCTCACTTTTGTGTGATGTTTACATTGTGCACAGACCTCACCGATACGTGACCGCAATTGGTGCTTTTATATATTTTTTATTTTTTAATCAATAATAATAATAATAATAATAATAATAATAATAATAAACACTCATAATTGAGTGCTCGGTTAATCCTGCCCTCAAGCGCTTCCTTTGATCACGCGAGTCTGATTTTCACCATTTCAAATATAATTTTCCCAACCAATATGCACTTAGAATGTGTCATAATGCGTAGAAAAAAGAAAAAAAACATAAGAAGGCCGTAATTTCTATATTTCATGGCATAAATCAATTCAAATGTAGTAGTAATTAACTAACCATCCAAGAAGTGGTTCTATTTTTACAGCACCATGTCCTGAAGTTTCCATCATGAGATGTGTCTCAGACTTTCAATGCCATCTCTGGTCGACTCTGCTCCCATGTCGATCACGTTTCTAAAACCCTACTCTGTACAAACAATGTCTCCCTCCTCTCTCCGTAATAAACCTAGTTAGCCCCATACTCGTCCTTGCGTCCGTCACTATTGTATTTCCTCTATACATAATTAAAAAAAGTATTAAGATAGAGTGAATAAAATGTATCGGCTCCTAACTTGTCTAGAACATCCCACGTAAAAACCCTCATGACCCATTACAAGAATTCATTACTAGTCTACGATCTAACATACACCAACCAAAAAAACGTTATAATCTGCATGGAAACACTGAAGACAGAGAGATACTAAACAAAGCAAGACTCTTTTATGAAACCCTTTGAGAGGAGTGTCTTCTCTCATTAATGAATTCTCTAAAGTGCTTTGAGTAAGTGATCATTAAGTCGACTTTCTCGGTCGAGTTCTGATCAACGTAGAGACTTTAGTCTGTCTATTTGCGTTCCAGGAGACGTTAATCCTCCTCTCTTGGTAAAGAACTTGAGACCGTTTCTTGTATACGGTAAACGAGAAGCCATCATGATATATGAATCATCAGAACACTTAAATCTCTATTTCTCAGAGTCATTTGCCAACTTGGTATTTCAATCTATTCAAGCTAAACCTCAACTTCACCGCATTGAAGGTTCCTCAACACGAGAATCATGTCCTGATTCTTGCCACTATGGTAGACGATTTTGCTATCTTCAGACTGTCTTGATCTCAGTTCCATCTGAAAGTTCATGCAAACCCAATCTGTGAATCCCTAGGAACGGCTTGTGTTTCGTCCAACAATATACACATCTTCATTAGCAGAACCAAAGAAGAGCTTGAAGAGATTCTACAATTTCATGGTTTGATTTATTTCTTCAATAGTAGAAACAGTTATATTCGACATGTACATGTAAAGACCAAAGCAGATATGAGAAACTTGTCTTGCCATGAATAGAAGAAAAAAACAGTCACATCTTTGCGGTCTCTCTTGAACCTTTCTCCACCTTATTTCAATCGTTTAGTTGACATCCATGGTGTCTTATTGGATCCTAAAAGAACGAATGCTCCGCATTTACATCAATCAAATCTATGCATAATTGAAAAACCGAGGAGTGTTATTAATATAACTTAGCGTCCAAGGCCCTTGCAGCCTTGACCTTCACTCCACTCAAGCATGATCTTCATTAAAGAACCCTTAGTTACTACCCACTAGTGAATTTGAGAGATGACCATTCAACAAAAATTATGCGTGAGCTAGACCTAAGGGGAGAGGTTCATAGGAAAAAAAAAATAATTATTTTTTTTTTACTTTTTCGAAAAAAAAATAATAATAATTGGCGAATCACAACCGGCCACGTGGCGAACCCGTGACGAATCGGGTTCACCAAGACGAACCCACGCGCACCGGATTTATCACTGTTCTTCTCGAAAAACGTGTGAACCCTCCCTTAGAACTCTTAATGGGGATGTTAATTAGGTTTGCGTGATGATGACCTTTGAACAATATCATGTCCAAAATTACTCAACTAGCTAGACCCTATATGGCTATATCGGTACCAAAAAGAAAAATGCGACACGTTCGAGAAAAAACTGAGACTCTACTCGAAACCCATCGAGGTTGATTCAACGCGAGATTCCGAAAACAGTATCGACATATCCATCCATATTTTTTGGGTTTCCGATTTCATTGCTGCTCTTTTACTTTCTTTCTTCATTACGTTCGCTTTTCTCATCTCTACTACATACACGTATGACGCGTATCCTTCTCCGTTATTTTGTTCGAGTCCCTATGCTTTTCATTAAATTTCAGTTTTAAACTAAGTATTTATCTTTTAACTTTTTATTATTAACCCATCGGCTTTTTATGGTGTAAACCTTTAAAAAAGGTGTTAACCTTTCTTATGTATATTTATTTTCAGTTTACATCTGAATTATGATATGGTGGCTAAGTTGGCACAAATCACTAGGTTTAAGATTTTTTGTTTTAGGTACGTACCAAAGGTTTTCTAAACCAAAGACTAATCCCACGAACTCTTACTTCTTTATACATGTTATATTCCAATTAATATGCGGCTAGATAGCTAAGACGAATCGAACTCAGATGACAGAAATTCCAGTTGAAACTCCTTTTACAACTTGAACCAACGCGGCTTGCGTTAACAGTTTTAAAACACAAAATAATTGAGAACGAGTAAAAGATTATTGTTGTGTGAACTGATAAAAGCTGTTAGCGAATAAAATATGGACTAACATTTTCATTTAAGATATTGTATGATATGGATGAAGTGGTACGATATAGACTGATGGATGGCAAAAACAACGTGTGACATGTTGAAATGCAAGGACCTAATACGTACCCTTGAGTCTAGAAGAGTTTGTTGTTATGTGCGTATGATTCTAACTCAATGGACGTGAGGACATTGAGGAATCTGGCTAGTGGCTAATTGAACAGACACATATAGGTGGACAATAATTAAAGAGAAGCCGTTTCCTATTTTATTTTAGTTCCTTCTGTTCTCACGTTTGAAATAAATTCATCAGCTGGCACATTAATAATTTATTTCTATGGATGATAGTTCTTTCGAATATGCTCTTCAATTTTGTAAACGACAAATTATAATATAAGGTATATATGCCCACACTCCTTGTCTTTGACTAAAGGGAAACTCAAATTTTGGCCGTTTATTTGACTGGCGTATGATGTTTAAACATCTATTAACGTACACTATGCTTTTTAACTTGCATGTAATTTTGTTGGGGTCAGCCTAATGTAATGGTCGCAAGGTAGGTTAGGTGTCTACATAGATCGTGAGATCGCAGCGAGACTGATAGCTAATAGCTGTCTCATGAAACATGTGAATCTTTATCTATGCCTCCGTTGTTTTGGTCTTATCCTTCAGTCATGCTCTCTCTCTCTCTCTATCTGTATCTTCAGTCATAAATTTTAGCTTGGCTCTGCACCATTCAAAGATCATGCGACTCATGCCCCCATGTAATGCTCTCAGCACCTGATTCTGTTTCCATGATAATTCCATTTACATACACATAAATCACGTTATGAGAATATGATTGTACTTTTCAGAACATAAAGAACTTCATGCAAAAATACTCCGCATCTTTGTAGAGTTTTGTCTTCCGCCGTTCCTAGTTCGATCAACCCAAAACTAAATAACATTGATAAAACTCGACTTTATTCTGAGTATCTTTATATAATAAATAATAACCCGATTAACACAAAACTGTTCTTCTGACTTTTAACGCTTGCAAAATTAAAAGAATGAGGAAGATACATGCATGAAACATGCTTAGTGGGCTAGTGGCCAACTTACTAACTAATCGACCATTCCCGTTAATTATAACCAAGTCCCTATTCAAAAAATGTTATAGGTATATGCCTTAAATTAAAGTAAAGTTGTCGAGAGTGCTATTTAACCATGTTATAGATCGATATTGCGTATATCTATGAAAGTTCCGCAGCACAACTAAAAGATGAATTTTGATACATCTCTCCTTAAACTTCTTGATTTATGCTCCAAAATGACTAATATAATTATATTCCTAATAAGTGAGGCTTCTAAGATTTAAAAAAACTTAGTACGTTCTAAAGTAGAAGAAACCGTGTAACTTTAAATTTAATATGGGGAGGTTTGCATCAATGGAACCTAAAAGCAGCTAGGATCAGCAAGGTTTCTGGACAATGTGGTCCAACGCATGCTATTTTATGTTGCTCAACTTTGATAACGATTGTTTACCATTTATCACTTCGTATTCTACCAAAATAAAAAGTGAGTTTGATATGTATACCACAAAAGAAATCAACTTCATCACCTCCAGATCATCGATTATTAGTTTTTGCGTTGTAAATATTCTATTTCGAGTAAATATTATATCATATGTGATAAGTTTTAGTGAGACACTCTTTGTATTTCTCCAACAGCCATGTCTATATGCATAAATGTGTAAAACATAGACGTACAACTAAAGGCAACGTAGAAAAGATTATTATTATTTATTTTATTTTGAAAAGGAGAAAAGATTATATTTTAAATAAACACAGTTACACAAAACGCATGAATGCATGAGAACTATGCAAAATTCAACTTCACACTAAACCGATTGTTTTTTTCTTTTATTGCATTGAACCAAACCGAACCGGTTCTGATTTTCTCTTCTGGTCCTGATTACTCGGTATATACACGGGACCAAAAAAAAGCACGTTTTAGAAAAAGCACCAAAACAGAATCTTCGGGAAATCCCGAACTTTCGTAAAACTTTGCCAAACAAAAAACCCTAAACCCTAACTAACCTATTTAAAAACCCCTCAGCTCAAACAATCACATTCATTCTCTTCTCCCTTCACAGTTCTCTCTACTTCCTCTCTCTGCTTTCTTACCAAAACCAAAACAGTTCTCACTTCCTCCCAAACTAACGATCTTAACTCTTCTGTGGAATCTTTTGTGAATGGTGGAAACGAATCCGATCGGTGAAAAGTTTACTTTCTCCCTTCCCATCCAAAGAGCCAGCTTCCTCCTCACTTCCTCTGTTTCCTCTGTTTTCTCCTTCGGTTCCTGCAAAGAAGGCTGGTACTTTCGTTGCCTAGGTCTCGACCCGTGAATCTCAACCTCACCCACAAACCCTAAATCTCGACTCTGCTTCACCGTTACCGAGATTTTTTTTCTTTTGCTCTGTTTCCTCTGTTTCTCTGTTTTCCTCTGTTTTTGAAGATGTTGCTTTACAACAAGCAGAAGAAGAACGCTAAAGGAAACAGAATCCTTATCAGCATTACGGTTCTTGGTAGCGCTGGTCCGATCCGGTTCCTTGCTTACGATGAAGATCTTGTAGCTTCTGTGATTGATACTGCTCTCAAGTGCTACGCTCGTGAAGGTCGTCTTCCTCTTCTTGGATCAGATTTCAATGATTTTCTTCTCTATTGTCCCATGGTTGGACCTGAAGGTAAACTAAACCAATCAACTTCCTTCCACATTAGAATTGATTTTTTGTAACTTAATTGGTTTTACTAAACCGGTTTTTTGGTTTTATTGTTGTGACAGCTTTAAGTGCGTGGAAAGGGATTGGATTGGTTGGTGCAAGGAACTTTACTCTGTGTAGGAAACCAGAGGAGAAGAAGATGGTGAAGGAAGGTGTTGGAGCTAGAAAAGGTGGAAGCTTTAAGGCTTGGATCAACAAGTCTTTCAGTCTCAGAGTCTCCACACATTAAAAGATTCTTTCTTTTTTATCAAACAAGATAAAAAAACATCTTTTATGTTTCTTTGACATTGAAGACTTCTTGTTTTACATCTGAATTCGTTGGAAATAAAAGTTTCAGTTTTCTTCTCCACTCTTAATTTTGCTTTGGACAAAGTCTAATACTTACTACTTTGGAGAAACAAAGCTGATTGATATTATTACCTTGTGTACTTTGTTGTGTTCTTGTCGTAAAGTACGAGTGTAAAGTGGTGAAAAGGAGCCTTCATTGTGGAATCCAAAAAACTATGGTGATAAAATCTGTTTTGATTAAAAAGGCGAAAGAAACTTTGCAACACAAGAAACAAGAAATAAGTACAAATGAATGATCAATATACACTAGGGTAGATTCCGTACTAACTTTGTACTCTTCAGTCTCCACGTGGTGCATTACATAGTCTTTTCTTCATATCACGAAAACGACCCACTGTTTATTCTCGACCGTGCACGTCTTTCCACCAGTCCTTGTCCAACATGGAGTTTTCTAGATACTTCTAGAAGTACGTTTTGTGCCTCATTGAAATGTGTACACCATGCTAGGTTTTGAGAACTATTATGACTAAACTCTTGGTTAAACAATCACTATACACAATTTACTCGGCATAAAAAGATATTAGGTTATCCGTTTCTTTCTTAGTTTCCTCAGATTCCAGACTTGTGGTGGTTGTTAATATATTGTGAATTAAGTTACATCTGTAAACTTGGAGAAACACAACTACTTCGGTGAGGAAGCTAGAGTACTTAGGGCATCGGTAATGGTGTACTCAATGCACAAATCCTTAAAAATAGTAGTTATGATCATTTTATTTTTTTGGATTTAAGAAAAAAAAAAAGAACTGACCAATCACATCTTTAGATTATTTAAATGGAGTCCATGAATAGTTAAGAGGCTCAGCAAATCTAATCCTTAGCTTAGAAGTTTAAGAGTTTTTGTTGGCACAAAAACATAGATGAAATGAAGCCTACATAATTTTATAATAATTTTTTTCTTAAGGATTTGTGTTAAGAACCATTGTTGCAGATGGTCTTATGTAACTAATACTGTATACCTAACAAAACAAAGCTATGGTGATTACAAGAAAAAAAAGAGTTATAGCGTTTATTAAAAAAAAGGTTATGGCAGAAAATGTCAACCAGAGATTCAAATAAACTAAGGACTTTAGAACATGATTAATCCGGGTCTTACCAAAAAAAAACATGATTAATTCGGAGTTTTTAGGGTGAGATTATTAGTAGAAGTTAAGAAACTATTTTTTAACTTTTAACTAAAAAAATTAAGAATCCGTTCTTAAATAAAGACTTTAAGAATCGTTCTTAATGTTTTTAGTTAAAAATTAAGAAACAATTTTTTAACTTCCGTTAAGAATTCCACACTAAGAATTCCGGATGAAAGTTCAACCTATTAGAAGTTTAATGGGCTGGATGGCTAAAACCTAATTTGAACGGAACATTAAACATCGATAGATGAAATACTGACTACTGCTCATGTGAGACCAGTTTTTCACTCTCAATAGAAAACACTTTGGATGCATATGGATATGGTGATGAATAACGATTTCTTTCGAATTATTCTACCTATTATTTTGTAGATGAATGGAAGGACCATTCTGTCAAGCTATCACCGAGTGATACCGCCACTCTCAACCGAACTATGAAGAGCTTCAGGCTAAAGGTAAAAGCCTCTTTACTCTCTATTAAACTAACTAAAAGGCTTTGTGATCTCATCTCTGACGCTTACATGTGGATGTTTTCTAGAACGAGGAAGCCATCACTGAAGGAAAGGGAAATGGTTCTATTTACAAAGAAGCTGACAAGTCATGCAAAGTGATATCAGGGAGACTCTCCGGTGGAATTGGCTGCTTTAAAGGGACAGCCATTGCTGTTATGGTTCTAGCTGCTGCTGCAGCTGTTCTATCTTCCAACCCTGAGGTTACAACCGAGCTGAAGAACATGGTGGACTCATTGGAGCTGGACCAATACTATAATCCAATCATCAAAGCTTTGAAGAAGTAAGAGAGATGAGAGACAAAAACAACCTGAGGACAAAAAGTTATCGTCAATGTAGACAATTTTACTTAAAAAACCTTAAATCCTTTTACTCCTAAAGATATAAAGTTTTGACAATGAGAATAAAGTTATTTTCTGTTTATTATTATATGTTTTTGAGTTTTATAGTCATATGATTATAGTGAACATAGAGCCTCAAGTATAAGAAAAGAGCCTGCACACTGAGTGTATCCAGAGTATATACATTGACAAACTTTTTTTTAAATCAAGATTTTTAGTAGTCATAATCTTCTGGCTGTGCAAACGGGTACTTGAGGTAACCGTTCTTGATTGAGGAAGGGTCTTTTGGTTTGTCCCAAGGATACTTCATAGATGGATCTCTTGGGAACTTTCTGAAGTTGAGAAATGGTGCCCATAGTAGTAGCCTGCAATGTTTTTTTATAACTTTTTATAAGAATCACATAGAGAGCTAGCTAGCATCAATGTGGTGTACACTACTTACCCGGGGAAGAACATGAAAACGCACATGAACTGTAAATACATCTCAAAGAACTTTCTTCTGTACCATCTTACTCTCAGCCAGTTCATGATGATTGGCTAAACAACAACATTTTGTATAAGTAATATCATAAACATGAATAATCATCATTTACAATGGTTTTGTGGCGAACTTACTGGCATTACTAGGAAGTACCAAACCGATATGATAGCGATATCGAACACCACGCTGTTCAGTTCCTGCTGGTGGTTGACTCCAGTTATTGCCAACGCCGGATGATCAATCTGAAAACTAAAGATTTTTTTAGTAATTTTAACATTTTTTTCTAATACTTTTCAATGGTTGACTTGATGAGGTCTCATATGTTCTTTTACCGTGGCAAGAAGTGTTCCGAGTTGAGCTGCAAAGATTGTCTTCTTTGCTCCAAAGAAGTCACCAGCCTTTGCTCTCATCTTGGCAACATTCTGTAGTCAACAATAAAAGGTCAATACCAAGAAACAACATCAGTCACCACCACAAAGTTAGTTTTAGGAAACCTTACATGAAGAAGAGAGTCTGTGTTGGTGTGAGATGTAATACAGAGAGGAGCTTTTACACTGCGAGGCCTCGAAGAAAGAGATGACAAAGCAGCATTCGGGGCACAGAGCCCAAGGGAGTAGCAAAGGCTCATCTCTCTGTTTTGTCTTGTGATCTCAAATTCTTTATCTGTTGAGATTGGTTCTAATGAATGGCAGAGAGAATATTAGCTTCTAGCAGCCTTGGATAATTTTTCTTTTGAATCACATAAAATTCCACGTGTCACGAGGGAGGTTCCATGTTTTGTTTTGGCATATAGTGTATCTTATTGTGGATCATGAAGATATGTCAATCATTTTGTAGAATGATTAAGTCTTTTTTTCTTTCTCTTTCACAGTAAAATGTTTGTTTATAATCCAATCTATCATTAATCCTAATTCGTTACATAAATAGAGTCACTAGTGAGTGCCTGTGATATGCTACAAATGCAGAGACTGAGACTGAAGCTGGAGACTTGGAAAACATGTAACTCTTGTTTGAGCAAAGAAGAAGCTGGATTAGTAGTGTTATATATATCTTATCTTCAACAGAATCAAAGGCTTGTGAAGCAGAATCCTTTGACCAGATAAAACTGTTTCTTTATGTTCTTCACAGGAGATACTACATAAGACATATTTGAATGTCAGGCCTTAACAGAGGTGTTAAAACGGCTAACAAGACAAGATGATGGAAGAAGAACCAGAACTGAATTGAATCTCTTCAGCCACAAAATCCGAAGAAGCTGCAGAAAAATACACACAGCCAACGAGATTCTCAACATATAAACTTAAATATCATAAGCACATAAACTATGATTCCTCATGTGAATGATTGAGTAGAATACCCTGATAAAGTCACTACTCTTTGTTTAGTACTTTAGGTACTTTTAAATACACCTCATCAAAGCTTGGAATCGAAGCTCTTATACTTTCCCTGCACAAGGAACATCAAAACTTTAGTACATGGGGCCGCAACCAATTCTACTATTCAAGATGGAGACAACAACTGTATCAAGTTCAAACCTGTTGTCAAATGTTTCTGGAGCATCCTCTCGCAAATTTCCACCTTCCATTTCTACAAGTTTTTTTTTAAAAAAGATCAGTAAGGATCAAGAAACTGAAACAAACAGAGTTATATATCTTCCACTTCCAAACGAATCAGAACTGATAAGTAAACCTCTTATTTCAGTAAAAACCTCCTCAGATTTTACCAAGAGAATGTGCTTAGACGACAAAGACTCAAGGCCCTAATATTCAATCAACTTTGCTTATAAAGAAAGAAGATCTGTCCACATGAGTCTACTCAAAACATGATCAACCTCATTAACTCAGTACTCACGAGATGGATGCCACTGATTTTATAACAAATCTAGCCGGTGACACTTGTTTCTTTATAATGACAAGTTAGCTATAGTACACTTTTTCTTCCCCAAAGTTTCACTCTTTCATGAATGTGTTTCATATTACCAAAACAGTACAACAACAAAACAAAACAAAACAAAACAAAACCGCAGGAAAAACCACAAAAACACCAAAACAAAGAACAAATTTGTGTACTTAAAACACAAACCTGCTCTAATCGCTGGTTCCACACTGTTAACATCAACTTGTTGAAGCTGACCAAACCTGCATTTTCCCCCACCAATTCACACAAACCCATCTCAACACGAAACTATCTAAATACACGAGTTTGGTTCAGTTACCAGTCAATAACTTGACGAATCTTAGCTCCACAACCCTCAATCTGAAACATCAAAAGGAAACAATGTGAGAACTCAATATGTAGAGAAAACGTAAAGTAAAAGGGTTTACCTCGGAAGGAGAGAGAGAGATTCTCGCTGTCTCAGCTAGACGAGATACATCCGGGGGCTGAAGAAGAGAGGGGTTAGTGTCAGACGAGAAGCACCGAGCTATTCTACTATGTCTCTGGAATTGGAGACTTGAAGAAGAAAAGGTTGAGGCTTTGACTCTGATCATGCGAGGTGGTGGTGAAGCTGATAGAACGGCAAGTAAAGCTGCTCTCGTCGCCATTGGCGGCTAGTTTGAAACTCTCTGGAAGACTACTGAATATGATGGGATAGGAGGAGAAGGATGGTTAAATTGAATCAAAATTGTTAACCAGTTTTAACCGGTACGGTTTCAAAAGTCGGTTTGGGGTAGTAAACAAACAGTAAACAGTATATATCTCAGCACAGAAACAACCACAGTTAATCTTTGGGGTTATTGCACGCATGGAGATGATAAGCTTTTGGTTTATGAGTACGTTGCTAATGAGAGCCTTGACAAGGTCCTCTTCAGTAAGTTTTCTTCTCATAGTTTACCACCTTTGTTCATTTTATTAGGCATGCGGGTTTGGTTAGTTCGGTTTAGTCCGTTCGGGTAGTTTGATTTTCGGTTGCTACAGTTAGTTCAGTTTTCGGTCAGTTCGGTTCAACATAAATCTTGCCAAATTAACCCAAAAATAAAGTTTGGTTCGGTTGTGTTTGGAAATTTTATTGAAGTTTTTTGATTTGGTTAGATTTTAGTTTAATTTCGATATAATTTTGGGTAAATTCAGTTAGTTCAGTTCGGGTTTTTGGTAGAATTTTTCTTTAACATAGAAAACCGATTGCCGATCCATACCAAAAACTTAACTTTTATAGTAAACCTACCAAATCTAACCAGATTTCTAACCGAACTAACCGAAATTTTGGTTCGGCTCGGTTCAAAATCGCCGGCCTATTTGTTCTTATCTTATGTTTTGTGTTTTGATCTAGCTGTAAGTGTTGAGATTGGTTTGTACATCTGCACGTATTGATATTCTCCGTTTGGATGCAGAATCCAATAGAAGATCAGAGATAGACTGGAAGCAGAGGTTTGAGATCATAACAGGCATTGCTCGAGGACTGCTCTATCTCCATGAAGACGCCCCAAACTGCATCATCCACAGAGACATCAAGGCTGGCAACATTCTGCTTGATGAGAAATGGGTTCCTAAGATTGCGGATTTTGGGATGGCTAGACTCTATCAGGAAGATGCAACACACGTCAACACCCGCGTCGCAGGAACCAAGTATGCTCACTAATGTCATTTGAGTCTTTTTGTTTCACGGTAAAATGATGACTAATGTTTACTTCTTTTTAGTGGTTACATGGCGCCGGAATATGTAATGCACGGTGTTCTATCGGTGAAAGCAGACGTATTCAGCTTTGGGGTTGTGGTGTTAGAACTCATTAGTGGCCAGAAGAACTCGAGTTTTAGTATGAGACACCCTGACCAGACTCTTCTTGAATGGGTAAAGCCTTTAGTCTCTCTGGTCTCTCATGTTCCTTTGTTTGTTTCAATGTTAATGACTTCTTGATTATGACACAGGCATATAAGTTATACAAGAAAGATGGAGATACTAGACCCGGAGATAGCAGCTTCAGCTGATCCAGAACAAGTGAGACTCTGCGTTCAGATAGGCCTTCTCTTTGTCCAAGGAGATCCTCACCAGAGACCAGCGATGAGACGAGTAGCTATGCTTCTCACGAGAAAACCAGGACATATAGAAGAACCAGAGCGTCCTGGTGTCCCTGGATCAACATACCGCCGTAGAACGCATGGTCCTTCAGTAACATCCTCCTCGGTTGGAACATCATTATCGACCACTGGATCTAATGCAGATTCTTTTGGTTCGAACTTGAGAACAAACACTGGAAGCAACACAGGAAGTGGTGGAGTTACACCAGCTTCTAGGAATCACGGTACTAGAAGTGTAGGTGGTGCGAGCTCTAGCTCAGACCCTCACGAGAAACGACCTATGAGTTATTAGAGTAGATAAAAAATCTTGTTACATGTGATTGTAAATTAGTATTATTATTTAAGATAATTTGCTCCAGCACCATAATTGGAGTTCATATTAGCCATTTATACATGATTTGACTTATTTAGATTTTATGACCAAAACACCCCTCATTCTCTCTCCTTCTACTTGCTAGTTTTCTTACCTTCTCTCTTCCTACTTTATCTGACACTCTCTCTCTTTCATTCGATTACACTTCTTCCCCATTCTCAAACTCTCTTATCATCTTTTTTTTTTTATCATTCTCTCTTCTAATTATTTTTTCACTCATTCAAATATATATATATATATATATATATATATATATATATATTTATTTCCTATGTGATTTTAAAGAATAACTTTAATTTTTTATATTTACTCACTCTGATAAAAAAAATAAAAATTTTAAATTATCTATTTGTTAACAGTTAATACCTAACATCTTGTGTTAATTGTTAATAAATACTTGTGTTAACATAGACATTAACTGTTAACAAATTTTGTAGATGTTAACAGATGTGTTAGCAGTTAACAAATACATTTACCAGATGTATTAACAGAAGCAGTAACTGTTAACAATTTTTGTAGCTGTTAACAGATGTGTTAACTGTTAAAATAACATGTACTATAAGTGTTAACAGTTGTGTTAATTGTTAACAAATTTGTAGATGTCAATACATGTGTTAGGTATTATATGTTAAAATTTTATATTGTTGAAGTTTCAATTTCTCTGTTGAACTGGGTGAATTTAAAAAGAAAAGAAGTGAAAATAAAAAAAAAGACTGTGTTATCGTTGAGAAAAAATAGAGAAAAAAGAAAGAATATGTGAGGGAGGAAAATGAATGTTAACGAATTAAAGAAAAAAAAATGAGAGAGAGTGTCAGAGAAAGAAAGAGAATTCAATCATCTCCAATGTTATTTTAGGCAAAGCAAGCTATAATTGTAATTCAATCATCTTCAAGGTTATTTTGGGCAAAGCAAACTATAATTGTAACCTTTTGACTTATTATGTTAACTCATGTGCAAAGTTTTAATTATGACTCCAAATATGGGTATTCCACTAAATCACTCTTATTATTCCACTAAATTAGGACAAGGCTTAGTTGTGTTGATTCTCTTCTCATTGAGAAATAAAACTTCATTCATTTGTATATATTAAAATTAAATCCCTGTCATATATGAATTTACTACAACTAAATTTTACTATACCGTTATGTGTAAAAACTATACTTCAAAATAATATATATCTCTAATCAATTTTATTTCAAGATTATTCATTATAATAATAAGAATTTTTATATTATTAAATGTACGTAATTAAACTATCATCTAATAGTCTGTATCACAACTACCATCATTATTCGTTACTATATTTGTATAGTTAATCAAACACATCATCCTCTCTTTTTTTTTTTGTTATGGCGCTACGTAGCCTACGTACGTTACATGTGATGTATTTTGTTTTTCATCGCTCCATGATTACGAAAACATATTATTAGTTATGTGGGTATATAAGTTTTTTTCTCAATTTATTATTGTGAAATAAACTCATGAGATTAACCCCAGAAAATGAAACATGAGCACTTTGAGACATGTGTGTTAGTCTCAGTTTCATAATTTGTATAAAGGCTTGTAAAAATTGAGAAAATATGAGTTGTTCACGGGTTCTTTTTTTTTTTGGTTTTTAAATCCAAAAGACGGGAGAGGTTATCAGTACAATCCAAACACCTTCTTCTAGTTTAGGCATTCTTCCTATATTCTTTTTACATAGCATTTGTCTTTTACTAGGCTTTTGTCTCAACAAAGACCAGTGAGTTTGGCTAACCATCATATTCTAGTGTACATTATATAGTTGATAGGTTAGGCTGTAGCTATCTATATATATTTCTCTCGTTTTTGCTAATATTGCTTCAATATTTTAATGTTTAGAGTAATTACTAATTAGTGTAAAATCTGCATGCGATATAAATTCCCGATGACTTTGTACGTATACTTTTGTGTGACTTGGTGAAATTACAACTAAATATTGACGGAGTCCTAAAGGAAAAGAAACAGAAAACAAAAATGTATAATACTAACGTAGAGTTTTTTTTTTTTGGTAAACTAGTAACGTAGAGTTTGTACCGTATATTCGTTTTATGGAGTTGACCAATAATCTTTAGACGTCAACTACTACTACGGGTGTCTAAAAAAGAAAACGTCAACTACTAGTTGTTGCGTTGATTGTTGTTCAAAATATGGACTTCGTATCGAAAGATAAAATGATACCATGCAACAAACTTTTACTCCCTCCGTTTTATATTAAGTGTCATTGTAGAGAATTTTTTGTGTTACAAAATAAGTGTCGTTTTCGGTTTTCAATGCAAAATTTATTAATTTTATTATGTAATTTGTTTTTCTATTGGTTAAAATATGGTTAGGTGTATGGGTAATTGTATTTTTATATAGGAAATATGTAAAATTAATTGTTTCCTTAATCCGTGTGCATAGCTGTAGAGTGACACTTATATTAAAACAGAGGGAGTAAAACATTAATTGTTGGGAGCTAATATCGTACTAAATGCATTTAACATTATTATAGTAACACATGCGATAAAGTTCGTCCGTATTACTTTATAATTATAACTGTACTATCGTATAAAATATATGTACAAAGCATATGATCAATAAAACAATACCAAATTTCTAAAGACATTGTATTTTTTATTGTACTTTATCTTCAAAATATATTTGGATAGTGATAGCGCGTCAACCGAGAGATTATATATGGTATCTTGAAAAGAAAAAGGTTATCTAAAACATTAATTATATTATTTTGTGTATAATATATTGTGTATGGAGAATCATGAGTCCAGCGATTGAATATGTTTATATTTTTTTGGTAAAAATGTTTATGTTTTTCATTCATAAGAATATTATAATCTAAACACGAGTTCTATGATCTACATAATATTCAGCATTTGGCTCATTTCTTATATTTTTAAAACAATTAATTAAGGAGAAGTGAATAATATATCTTAATTTCTAGCTTTATTGAAAACTGATAGAATGAGCATATGTAGGTATACCAAACACTATTTAATTTGTACATATATCTTCAATTCATATTTCGGAGAGACGTTGAATTATTTTTTTCGGGATGTGACACTTGAGTGAGTTGTAGTGAAAGATGGCATATGTGCTTTAAGAAATGATAACTTTTGCCTTCTATGAAAAACAGATTAAGGTTCTTGAACTTGTAATCATTTTGCTGTGTACATATTTTCTTGATTATGCTTTCATGTTCGTTGAAGTATTTAACCTTTTGAATTTTGAGAGCCATAATTGAGCACGTTATATACAGGACAACCGAATGCAAGATCTCTATAATACAATATGAAACCGAGTATTATCATAAAGTGCCAAGCGGTTGTGGTCCTAGTGGAGTTACAGCGCATGCATGGGCATGTATCAAATTATCAATTACGCATCAGATTATCAAGATTCTTGTTTATAGAAGCAAAACATATGATTCATTCATCTATTTTATTACGTTCTCTAATCGAGCTTATATACATTTGCTATAACAACTAATGAAAGTCCTAAAACTTATTCTTTTTCTACACGCGTTCTGTATTATTTCCATGTAAATGATAATTTCCATACAACTAAGGGAACTCACATATAGTATTAGACTAGCCAACAACGAATGATACTGGTTACCATTTACATATTTATTTTATGTATAAAATTCATTTTTTCAAGAAAGGAAAGACTTGATGGATGAATGATTAAGGTATTGCCTTGTCTGCGTAGTGATTGACTAAAGCAAGCGCTATGCTAGTCAGCTTCTTAACATCTTCCACTCGTGAGGATACGTCATCTTTGATGGAGCCATCCTGGTGGAAGTCTTCGAATCCCTCCGTACAAGTATACTGGTTAGTGAGAGCTGCGCTGAGCCACGTCTTGACGTTACTCATCTGGAACCTAAAGTGCTGGACCGAGCCCGTGGAGACAAGCTCCTTCATCTGTTTCATCGAGTCTCTCATCTCGCCGACCGCATCCTTAAGATTCTCAGAACAGTCCTTTAAGATAGCAGCGGTTGGGGAATCACAACCATGGTCAACGCAGTTGCCGTAAGTGTTTTGGAGGTAGGAGACAAGGTGGAGAGTGTTGGAGAGAGTGAGAGAGATGGCTACGCGTGCGAGGCGGTTTGAGTCGTTGTGGATGGAGTTGGTGAAATTTGAGAGGGTGGAGAAGCATAGGTCGGGGTATAGTGTGGTGTTGCAACTCGTACGGATGAAATCTGAGCCGTCCGGTGATGGGAGTGGGGGATCAACGGTGAGGATTGATGGGAGAAGGGAGGAAAAGAGAAGTAGGAGAATAGGTTTCATCATTGTTGCTACTAACATTGTGTGATGTATTTGGATTGGTGAGTTTTCCTTAAGAGTATTTATAGGGTTTTTTGAAGTGGTTTTATTCGTTCGTTATGAACTTAAATGTACTTAGGCTAAGTTAGGAGGTTAACCGGAATTCTCTGCCAACAATGGTCGGCACATAAGTTAAAATGGGCCGGGCCGAATCCCAATTTAAAAACGTATGATGTACAGTCAATCTATATGATTGAAGTTGTATTCAAACAAGTGTAGTTGCATTACTTAAAGTGAATATAGACTTCGAATGATGATTAAGATGATGGGCTTTGGTTGTTCCAAAAATAATGATGGGCTTTGAGTTTGTAATGTTGGGGCAGTTTTAAGGAATAAAAATCAGTTTTTAAGGAATAAAGATGTTTTTTTTTTTTTGAGAAAAGGAGTACAGATGTTGTTACACACCAGAGAGGAACAAAGATGTTACACACCCCCTTGATAGACTAACCTGATCTTGATAAATTTAATTCACCAATCAAACCAGAGCCAATTTCAACTTAGGGATAATATATCTCACATCGAAAAATCAAACGATACTAAAATCTTACTCTTTTTTATAAGTGATGTTTATCTAGTTTT